GTGAGATTAACCCAGGGAACCTTTATTCTTTATATCTGAGAGTATCACTTTGTACAAAAATCAGTGGCAATGCCAATATCAAACTTAAACTCTCTTACCGAAAGAATGTCTACCCCAACATTTGCAGGCGCATTTCATGAAAATTGTTTGAAACAGGGAATAAGGAGCATTATTGGGCATTCTGGAATCTCCATTTAGGTCATTCCAGAGTTGGCACCATCCCAATCCCAAATCTGTTCTCAGAAATGTGCGCAAGAAAACTCTCCCGGGACCCAGGGGAGCCAGGATAAAGTGTACTGGCTCCCGGCCAGGGCAAAGAACAAAATAATATTCTGTATTAAAAAGTTGTTTTTCTTTCCTTTCCTTTCTTTCTGTTTCTTCTTTTCTTGGAGGAGAGGGAATTGTTTCTATTTTTCATTGTGCCACGAATCCCTGAGGACCGCAAATAAATCCCTAAAAGTATGCCCATTAACGTTAATGCAGTCAGAACAGGAACTGTTAAGACACCAAAGCAAGTAATGAAAACAAAAGGATTTCTGCCTAAATATTAGGATGTGCTTAGCTCTTGAAACTGCTGATCTTACTGATAAGGACCGGATGGGGTGGGGTCATCTTCAGACTGCTCCTCGGAGTCCTGAACGTGGGTGAGGTTTGGGATGCTGGCAGCACCTAGAGGCAGCACCCAGGAGAGGTTTGGGGCAAATCGGCCTTGAATATCACCATAATCTTGGAGCCACGCATCCAAAAGAAGCCGCCCCAAATAAATACACAATCCAAGGAAAACCAGTAGACTTGTTATACAGGAGCAGCTTCAGATAGAGCCCCCAGCCTTCCCTCTGGTCAGCTGACCAGATGTCCCCTAAGTAGATGGAAGGTCAGAGTCTGTCCCCAAGCCACCTTCAGCTAGAGACTACTTGGGATGCTTAGTGTCCCCGCTTTGCATAGAGGGCTTAGGGATAAGTATTTCCTTCCAGCAAGGAAACTCCCAGAGGAGGAGAAGTGGGAGAAAGCCTGGCCTACAATATAAAACAGCTCTGCACCAGAAATCAGAAGACCCAGGTTCTGGCCTAGACCTTGTCCTGGGCTCTGAGATGGACAACGAAATGGATCTTCCATGACCACAGTCTCCTTCACAAAGCGAAATGGCTCAACTACAGAAGACCTCCACCAGCTCTTCCAAGTCTAAAGTGAAAGAACCTACATGTCCAAATGTTCCAAAGGCAGATGGCGACAACCGTCTCTTTAGAGCCAACTATCAGCCCCCAGGAACCTTTACTGTTTAGAACTTCCCAATGAATGGGCCTATATTCAGTTCAGAGAGGACACTGAATATAAATGAAGAAACAGTTCTTGGGGCACCTGGGTGGCTCAGTGGGTTAAAGCCTCTGACTTTGGTTCAGGTCATGATCTCAGGGTCCTGGGATCGAGCCCCGCATCGGGCTCTCTGCTCAGCAGGGAGCCTGCTTCCTCCTCTCTCTCTGCCTGCCTCTCTGCCTACTTGTGATTTCTCTCTGTGTGTGTCAAAAAAAAAAAAAAAGAAAGAAAGAAAATGAAGAAATAGTTCCAATTAAGTTTTTTATTAAAATTAATCCATGAGATGTTACCTCTTAAAATTCTTCATTTGGAAATTGTCTAAAAAAACAGAACAAAACACCAACACTCTGATCTTGGCTGATCTAGACCGTGGTTGAGCTTTATTTTCTTTATGCCCCAACACTGCTCCTCTTTCCTGGAACTAGGGAACATTTTATGAGTTAAAATAAGGCCTAGAGAAATAGTAGAATCCAGTACCCTCTACAACAATTGAAAAGGTCTTTGATTTTTCATTAAGTTGATAGTGTCGACTCTATTTTCAAGAACTGTTTTTTCCTTTTTCTGCATTAAATAATACCAGTGACAGGCAAGGACCAGCAGAAAGAAAACCAATGTGTTTTTACCATGGCTCTGGTTGTGGCTTGGCTACTAATTAGTTCTGTGACCTGGCGCACATGACTTAACCCTTCTGACTCAGTTTACACATCTGCAAAATGTGGATAATAGCGCATGAGTTCTCCTTATGCTCCCCTCCACCAGGAGTTAAACAGGATAAGGCCAGGGAAGAAGAATGGACACAGTGTTGGTTCTCTCACTAACCCTCTTCATTTTCAAAAATATGGGCACTCCTGACTAACCATGGGGGTTTGACAGAAAAAAATTCCTTTAGTACTGTGTAGACAGAATCAGGGCTGAAGCAAATAACGCCTTGAAGCAAAAGCTAGGTTTCAAAGAAGAGTCTACCTAAATTGATGGTAACCGTCTTCTTGGAAGACACTGTTAAGTTCCTTCCCAGTTTTTAATGTTAAGGACAGGGGCGCCTGGGTGGCTCAGTTGGTTAAGTGTCTGTCTGCCTTTGGCTCAGGTCATGATCCCACAGTTCCTGGGATAAAGACCCACTTCAGGCTCCCTGCTCAGTAGGGAGCCTGCTTCTCCCTCTCCCTCTGTGTGCGTGTGTACGCTTGCTCTATCACTTTGTCTCTAAAATAAATAAAATCTGTTTAAAAAAATAATGTTAAGGGCAGTAGGACACAGCTCAAGGGGGAGGGGGTGCGGACACAGGGGATTTACTACCAGTCAGACTCCAGGAATCCAACCTCTGGTGCATGGGGCCTAGTTTTCTCACCTATCACCTGGATTGGAAAATCTGAAATCCATCAGTTTGGAACCTCTATCAATCAAAACTGAGCCCTGCTTCCCTAACCATGTGGAAAACTAACTTCAAAGCATAACTTTTTAAGAAACTGAATTATGGGAGCGCCTGGGTGGCTCAGTGGGTTAAGCCTCTGCCTTTGGCTGGGGTCATGATCTCGGGGTCCTGGGATCGATCCCCGAATCAGGCTCTCTACTCAGCGGGGAGCCTACTCCCTCCCCCCCTTCCTCTCTGCCTACTTGTGATCTTTGTCTGTCAACTAATACAAATAAAATCTTAAAAAAAAAACCTGAATCATGCTTTTAGTCCAAATGAATTATACATTAATTAAATCATAATTATACATTCTATTACATGCAGAGCCTGATTTCATTTGCCAATTAAGAAAGGACGGGGGGGTGGGGGGGAGATCCTCCACCTGCACATTCGAAAGTGATTACTTCACCCTGAAGTGGTGGGTATTTTGGCAGCATAGATAAATAAATAAATAAATAAATAAATAAATAAATACGTTGCTTAAGACCTGTGCCTGAATGTTCAGGAAAGCCTGCGAAGAAAACCAACTAGGAGAAAGAGAAGCAAAATATTTCGAACGTAGTAAGAAGATTCTAGAACTGGTTATTTTCTTGACTCTCCCCTCCGTTTGGGGGCATTTCCTGCAATACCAACATTATTCCTGGATCCCAAACTCCTCTCAACAAATAAAGTCACTGGGGAGAGACGAAGCGCACACACCTCCAGGCTGAACAGCTCGGGCTCCGCTGCCCGGGAGGATGGGAAGAGCTCAACCTTTCCTCCAAGTACTCTGGTTAACCGGGGTCACTCATGTGCCTCCCCCACCACCCTACACAACTGCGTGCCTCTCCTCCACTTGATTCACATGGTCGGGATGCACCCCCCAAGCCTTAACGCCATCCACATGGAGTCCATCCTTCAAGACTCTACTCCAGCGTCACCTCCTCAAACGCTGAACAGGCAGGAACCCTAAGATGATCATTCTGGCGGGGGTTGACCTTTCTCTTCCGTAGTCAGTGTTCCTGGGATGTATGTTTTGTCAACTCGGAACTACTCTGATCTTGCCTTGGATTGTACTGGGGTCTTGCCTTAACACCTGATCCAGGTAAGACAGCCCCCCCCGGGAGCGCAGCCACTTTATCGGTTAAATACCTCCCCCCCGCCCCCCCGCGAAAGCACCTATCCCCTTCCATAAGGTAATGACTCAATAACATACCCGATAGACTGAATGCTCTGTATTTAAGCATAAACACTGTTTGGCTCGCCGGCTTCTTTGGCACACTAAACCACACTAGTAAGTTTCAAATTTCCCTGATTGGCTTCACGCTTCCTTGCTGTCCCTGGACAGGCGCTAAGCCATTGTGAAAGCACCGAAAAGGTAGGGAGGAGAGGGGAAAGAAGGGGAAGCCGGGGCCTGGATAGTCCACACTGAGTCATCATTTCCTGAGTGATGGAGCTTGCTGCTTCGGGGGATCTGGAGAGGGGAACCGGAGCAGCGGGTGGAGGACGAGCCCCCGCCCGCCCCGCAGCCGGAGCACCCTGAGCCCGGGCCGAGCCCGCACCCACGTGCTGGAGCGCCCTCCTGTGGCCGCGCCGCAGTCCCCGCTGCTCCCGGCTCGCCCGCAGACCACGCTCCCCGCCGCTAAAGAAACAAGAGACGCACAAAGTTTCCGAGCCAGGCGGTTTGCGAAAGGTCGAGGCCAGGTCTGGGCGCCTCGATGCGCGCGCGTGGCGGCAGCGGCACCCTGGCTGGCGACGACCGCGAGAAGTCCCGGCTCAGGAGGACTCCCTTAAGGCTCCGAGGTGCCCCCCAGCGGGGCTCGGGGCCTGGAGATCCTGAGGGCAAAGGCTTCTCCCGTACCCAGACCTTACAGCAAAACGCGGGAGCGGAGCCAGGGCCCAAGCCAGGACCGGGTGCCTCTGCCCCCACCCCCAAGCTACCAGTACACCCTTGGGGCGCCTGGGTTTGCCTTATTCATTTTATTAATTGGAGGGAGGGGCGCGCCAATTCCTTTTGGTGCATCCGGATCCCCAGGAATCAGGGCTCTGGGCGACCCCCAAGACTCCACCTAGAGTCCACCGCCCCACCCAACGCCGCCCTCCCCCGCTGGGGTGACAAGTGGAAACAGCAACTCCCCTCCCTCCTCCCCTCCAGCCTTCTGGCTTGGGAGGTAATGCTCCAGCAGGGTTTCCCTGCCGCCCGCAGAGGACCCGCCAACCGGGAGGCGGCAGCGGGGTACGCGGCGCCCTGGGGCTGGGGGCCGGGAGCGGGCGAGGCCCGGCCCGGCGCGGCGCTTACCTCGTCCACGGTGAGCGGCATGCAGATCCGGTATTCCTTCAGCAGCATGGTCCTGCCGGCCGCGCGCCCCCGGGGCGGGAAGCGGGGGGCGCCCCCCCAAAGCAACAAAGCTGCCGCCCAGGCGCAGGGCAGGGCGCCCGGAGCCCTGCGCTCAGAGCCGGCCGGCGAAGCAGCCCCGGCGGTGCGCTCAGCTCCTGTTTTCCTCCTCTCCGCCGGAGAGCATGTCAAGGTTCGGGTCCGGGTGTTCAGGGCTCCCCCGCCTTCTTCCTCGCCGAGCTCGGTCCTCCCGGAACGCGGTGTTGCAAAGTCAGGGAGGGACCAGGGAGGGAGGAGGGAGACCCGCTGGGAACCGCTCAGATCCGTAGCCCCGGGCGGTAGGAGCGGCCGCCCGATCAGGACATGCCCGGTGGCGGGCCGGGGAGGAAAAAAGAGAGATTTCCGAAAATTAAAACGAATGCACAAAAGTCACCCGCTCGATCCGCCTCCGAAAGCAGACATGAACCTGGCGACCCCCCTTCTCCGGCGGGTCTGCCAATGCTAATGTCACCAGGAACACATTGCAGCCGGAGCTGGAGATGCTGACTTTCCAGACAAAGGCTTGATCGACTCCTCTCCCCGGGCGGTAAACAAGATTTCCTGCTCTTTTTAGGGCCGGTTCCCGAGGCGCTCCAGGGCTCGCAGCGGGAGAAAAAGGAAGCCGCCGCCGCTGCCGCCGCCCGGCTCAGTCGGGCTGGGGCCCGGGGTTCCTCCAACCTGGGCTCGCGGCGGCGAGGGGCGGGCGAGAGGAAGCTGGCGCCTTCCGCGCACGTCCCCTCCCCCGAGTCCCTCGGCTCCCCGCGCGCTGTGCGTGCCCGCGAGTTTGCAGCCACCGCGCCGGGGCCGGAGAGTCCGCGCGGAGCTGCAGTGTGCCTCGGGCCGGGGAGGTGGGTGCGGGAGGAGCGAGCGCCAGCGAGGCTGACATCAGCAGCGGCCGCGGTGGGGAGGGTAGCCCCATCCGGCCAATGGGGAAATGGCAAAGAATGTGGAGGATTTAAACAAAACAGCATGTCTCTCCCCGGCTCCTGCCAGACGGCAGGGCTGCCCCGGAGCCGAGCCCGGCCGGCGCTGGCGAGGATCGGGAAAGGGGGCTTCCCTGGCTCCTTTACCCTCTGAATCTGTTCTCTAGACGTTCCCTGGGTGCCAAGGGTGCTCTGCACCCCCCCCCCCCCCCACGCCCGTAGCTTCTGGTTTCCAGGTGCATCCTTGTTTCTTGACCTTTGGAGAAGGTCTTTACAGAGCGTTTTCACTTTGGTCCGGGGAGCACACCCAGCGCTGGAGAGGCGATGGGCTTTGGGTGCCTGAGACCCAACTCTTGCCTGGTTTCCTGACCGGTTTCGGAGAGCGAATCCTGGATAACTGGAAAGTGCCACAGCGTGGAAGAAAAGGAAGCCCCCGACCAGAGGGAACGTGAGGCGGAGGTCGCCTTTCCAGCTCTCCTGGCCTGCTCTGCTGTCCGACCGCGGGCTTCTCGGGGCAGCAAAAGGACGTTTTCTTGTCAGCACTCCTAAGTTCAAAAAGTCACAGTGAAATGTCAATGAAAGTGCCTGGAGTGCGGGTACTTCATCCATATTAAACAGATCCCTCATTTTAACCACAAGAGGCACATTCTTCAGTTACTCAGGAAGCTGCAAGTAACTGCTGAAGTCTGTTTTTCATTTGTCTGGTATTTTTAAGCTTGTTTTTCTGAAAAGTTGCTGGATGAAAAATGCCTCGTTTGCCTCTATGCAGGATAACCTGCAAGCATCATCTTTTCTCAGAAAAATATGTGTGCGGTACAGCCCTGCAGCTACTCATGGAGCTTGGCTGGTGCTCCAGATGGTCTCGATATTCTAGTATTTAAAATTATGATTAATAAAGAAATAACCGGTGGAACTCTGGTGTGCTGTGGCGAAAATCACGCAGATGGCTGGAGAGAATCTATAACTGTGAACATGATACAAAGCCTCACAGAAAAACAACTCCCTATATCCAGCTTATATTTTAGGGAAAACTATTCTCTAGATAAATGCTTCCCAGAGTTGGCTCAGAAATATTCACAGCAACTAATTAAAGCTAAACCGAATTCCTCGAGGTGGAAAATCTAAATCTGACACTGTAGTGGTGAATAATAACACATTGAAAGCCTGTGATACGGAAAGAAGCTCAAGCTGTTTTTCCTTTTTTCCCTACTTCTTACTTGAAAACAAGTGTAGTGGTTTCGCTTTCTGGCGCCCGATCCTCTTCACAAAGGCAGCTAGGCAATGCACTGGCTAAGCCACACATACACACGCACAGGACAGCAGAGCCCTGTGGATATATTCCTAGCTTCCTAGACGTTTCCCGACGTTGATTCTGTAATTCTGTTTACTGAAATTCTTATTGTGGTTGAGGAACTACCTCTCCTCCTTTCCCAGGCGGCAAATCAGGCTCTATGTGCTTCTCTCTTGACTCTGCTAGGCTGCCTAAACTTCCTTTTCATTCAGCCCATCCGCATGCCTGGTCACATTAATCTTGTTCAAGCACAGCTCTAATCCTGCCACCTTTAGAACCTCTCACTCGTTCTCTGTGGCCTACTGAGCCAGTCAAAATTCCTTGGCAGGGAGATCACGACTCTGAATGTACCTTTCCCCTGCTAGTCAGTTACCTTTCCTCCCCCACCCTCACTGCAACCAGGTGAGACAAATCTGTTGGCGGGAGAAGGTTTCCACTTTACCCTTGACCCTTCTCCCGCCGTTGCCTCCCCCGCTCCATTCCCCCAGGACACCATTTTTTCAGCCATCTGTTTTTGGAAAAGTGATTTCTGATGGCAGTGTTGGAGGGGAGAGGACAGAAGGATACCAGAAGCAGGAGTGTTAGAATACTATAGAAGACAGATGGGGAGGGTCTGCATTAAACTGTCCCGAAAGAAAAGACGATGAATTTTTTTTCAAGATTCGGTGAGGACTTGAGGACAGATTGGTTTTCACTACAACAGCGCTTGGGGGAGGGGAGGGCAAAGCGAGAGCTTATTCATTCATAACTCATTCACACAAAGGGAAGAGAGCGCCATCTACTGGTCGGATGCGTGGCTTAAAGTGTTTGAAGTCCCCCCCCCCCCCCATCAGCAAGAGTCTGGCAAGAATTCTGTTTTTTTTCAACCAGTGGAATCTCCAATATCTACTTCCAAAGAGCTTTGAAGGTGCTGTTATTCATCATTAAGAAGAGTAGTAATGGGGACGCCTGGGTGGCTCAGTTGGTTAAGCAGCTGCCTTCGGCTCAGGTCATGATCCCAGCGTCTTGGGATCGAGTCCCACATCGGGCTCCTTGCTTGGCAGGGAGCCTGCTTCTCCCTCTGCCTCTGCCTACTACTCTGTCTGCCTGTGCTCGCTCGCTCACTCTCTCTCTCTAACAAATAAATAAATAAAATCTTAAAAAAAAAAAAAAAAGAAGAGTAGTAATGATCCATTAACAATGATATAATCCAGCTACTGATCATCACATATTTTAAAAATGGGGGTGGGGCACAAAGGGCAAAAAGTTTGGAAAAAGTTATCAGTGAGGAATGATCTGAGCAGAAGGAAAAGAATATTAGCCTACACACGTCTGTGACAGCCGATACCGCCAGATAAGTGACAATCTGTGAAGGCAAGGATTCTCAGAAGGCGAGATGGGGGAGGTCCCCTTCAAAATCAATCATCTAAGGAGCTTTTTCTATCCATTGGCTTCACCTGGATTCTGATGATGCACCCATCCCCCCACACTGAAACCTCTTCTCCGTTTGTGTGAAAAAACTATGACCCACTCTGTGAGTAGCATCTGAAAGAAGCGTGTACCAACAGTCTTTGTGACTATTCAGATCCTGTTTCATTCCTAGAATATCCCTGTTATCTCTAAAATATAGTTCTTTCCATCTTCCTCTTTCCTGCTCACTGTGTATAAGGTGTGTGGGTTTGTCAAAGGCCACTGAAAGTCCCAACTCTTACACAGAGCTGTTCTAGACAACCCTTTACCTTTCTAGACAACCTGGAACACTTATCTGGACTACTCACTCTGGTTCCTGTTTGCATGCAAGTGTGACCTTTATATAGAAAAGGTGGTATATGGTGCTAAAATAGTCCCCCCGTTTTCTGATTGTAGACATGATTTTAAGCTTCCAGAGAAGACAGACTGTGTCCTCTCTGTATCATCTGGAAAATGTATCCTGGTATGGGGTAGTGTAGGTACCTAATAAACATCTGTTAGGTGTATGTATTTAATTAGTTTCAGGTTCTCAGTCTCAGAGCTACTAACACTTGGTGCCAGATAATTCCTTGTTGTGGTGGTCACTGTACCATGTTTAACAGCATTCCTGGTCTCTACCCACTACATATCAGCACCCCCACATACAGACACATACACTGCCGAATCTGGGGGTGCATAGGGAGGAATGAATTCCTACAGTGGAGAACCACTGTATTACTGTAACATTCATTAATCTTATCTAAATGTTTAGTTACTCCAAGAAGAAACTTTTGGAGACACTGACTTCCAACTCGTCCAAATTAGGTCTAAGGAGAGAAGGATAAAACTATTACATCACAGTGATATAAAGATGTGCCTTCTCATTCCCATGATCTGCCTTCCATTACCAAAGTAGCCCTGTTGAAGGCTTGACTTTAACCTTGATCTCTTGGTGAAGGTCATGTCTGCCAACTTTTTCACAAATGAAGTTTTTTTTTCCTTTTCCATTCTCTTTTCTTCGGAAGTGGGTCATTAAGTCCAGCCCACAATCGAGGGAGGGGAATTAAGCCTGCCTCCTGAGGAGAGAGTATCTACATATGTAATATGGAATTCTGTGAGATTGTCCTCTTCTCCCTCATTTATTTATTCATTCAGTTATTTATTTATATCTGTTGGACTCATGCATATTTATTACACTTTGAATAACAAGTCAATACTATGTTAGTTTTGTTGCTCAAATTGTTCCAGCTTTGGACACTGGAAGGTTTTGCAGGTTTCTTCCGGTGACCATGTCAATGCCCCCTTTTTAAGGGTTATTTTTTGAAAATCAAATGTTATCCTTTGCAATTAACTTTTATTAAATATTATTTAATTCCAGCAAAGTCTTTATCTGTGTGTGTGTGTGTGTGTGTGTGTGTGTTTAACACCTGTGTCTGACCTTTTCAGGTACTAAGCAAATGACATATTCATTCTTAATGCAACAACAAACAGAAAGTCCCAAGGCAATTCTTATGTGTAGACCCATTTATCAGGACTCTATTAAATACAAAGAATGCCTTTGATATATAATTGCTTGGAGCTGTGAGCTCATAAAATAAAAATTAATTGATAATGATGTGGTATAAATTGCTTCACACAGAAAAAAAAACTTGGAAGTTCTATGACCAAAGGTCTAGCTTTGTCTTTTTTTTTTTAAATAAATAAGCTAGTAATAAATTTATCAAAGTTTTATTGCATTTTCTGTTTTTATAGAAATTGGCAAAACACTAGTATATTTTGAGATAAATTATGAGGCCATATGTAACCTATACTTACCGGAAACAAGTTTTAGTGATGAAAGAAGACACTGTCCTTGATCCTGAGTGTTCTTTAAAAGGAGGCACCTAAAAAAAAAAGCTGGGGGGGGGGGGACACCTGGGTGGCTCAGTTAGTTAATCATCTGCCTTCAGCCAGGGTTATGATCCCAGGGTCCCAGGATGGAGTCCTGCATAGGGTTCTCTGCTCAGCAGGGAGTCTGCTGCTCCTTCCACCGGCTGCTGCCCCCTTTGTGTATGCTCTCTCTCTCTGACAAATAAATACACAAATATTTACAAATAAATAAATAAACAAATAAAAGGAGGCAACTGTGCGATGATAACTGATTATAGCTACTTAATGCCAAAGCATATTTGACCTATTATCAACAAATGATCTCAACACAGATCTGGAAATAGTGTTTC